CTGGTGATTAATCTGTTTTCCAATACCAATTAAAGTTAACTTTTTGAGCGAATATGGTAAAGTGAGGTTCTTTAAGAAAGACTTAGACCAACCATGAGATTGGTATTTGAACTCTTCAAGTTCATGTAGATGGACGAGATTATTGAGACAAAAATATTCCATATCCTCTGATGGACATCCGTAACATATTCCGAGCTTCTTTAGATTTGGAATTCTTGTGAGGACCTCCTCTGTACATCTGAAATTCTTTATCCTGGTCAGTGTTTGTAGGTTTTCTAGAACAATAATAGAATTCTCCCTCTCATTTTCTGCAATAGCTAGAGGATCAAGAAGTATGTCAGGCTTAATTATAACATGCCTTAACTCTTGCATTTTCCATATTTTAGAGTTCATAAAACACTCCCTCGAGTTATGTGTAATAATTAAGATTTGTAGGTGCCGAAGTTTGCATACAGATGTAAAGGCCTCAAAATTATCGAGTATTGGGAAATAGAGGTACCTCAAGCTAACCAGTTGTTCCCATTCAATTGGCATGTATGTGAAATAATCGGAATAATAGAATACTCTGACCAGCTTAAAATTTAAAACAGCTATTGGATCTAGAAGATTTCCCCAATCGATAAAAGGAAAAGACCGTGGTAGTAAACTAGACAGTGTTTCAGCGTCATCGTCAAGCTTCTGTCTACGAGGATGAATAATTATATGACGTGAATTAATACCTTTCGACGTATCGAGAGGCCAATAAGTGGGGTAAAAGAACTTCTCCTTTTTAGATTGTCTCACACACAAGTCCTTTAATAGATCATGAATCTTGCATGTTTTGATTTTGCCCATGCAGTTTTTCTTACCACCCAAAACAAGATTTCTCTCTATAAGATCCAACAATACTCCTCCGCCACATCTTCAAAGCTTTTAGATCTTATTGGCTTCAGAATTCCTTCAGCAACCCATAAATTCACAAGTCGGAAAACACTTATGTCAGAATCTGCTCTGAAAATTCCCATATAGAGTAAACAACCTTTCAAATGATGAGGCAAACTCTTGTAACTTAATGATAGTACTTTTAAGCACTGTTCATCATTTGAAGTTATAGTTGAGCTCAGATTTTCCAAAACACTTCTCCAAATATGTTTTGTTTTTATCGCCTTTGAGAGGAGCCCCCCAATCACAACAATTGAGAGT